TGGATCTGGAATAAATCAGCAATGGGTCAAACTGGTTCAGAAAGTGTTTGAATAACTGCCCACGGAGTGGCCAGAGGTTCTCCGACAGCAGAGTATTTTGACTGCTGCTGTTCAATTACCATTTGAGAAAGCAGGACTGCTGGGAAAGACAACACAAGGTAAACCAACACTGGCTACAAAAGCAATCAGTGCACCAATATCCACAGTGCACAGCCTGGCCCTCAGAGACCTTCCCAAAGCAGCTTCACCTCGTGCTGCTCCGAGCCAGCAGCGCTCCACACAGCCAAGGTAAGGGGCTGTCAACAAATCACGGGAGCCCGAAATATCTCATTTTATCTCTATAATAGAAACTGTAATTGACAAATCATTATTTTACATTTATAAAATATATGATGAGGAACATACCACATGCATTCTAGACTTTCTGTCTGCACTGGAAATCAGCTGGGAAATTAGGAGGTATGGCGTAGAAACATCACTACGAATATACCGTATTACTGCTTTTGCAGCTGCAGCCCCAGAATTTGTTTCACAATAATTCAGTTACCCATGTTTAAACAACCAGCTAGCAGAAGAAAGGCTGATATATTTCATATGCATTCTCTTTGAGCAGGGGGGCCTTCACGTCTGGTCGAAAAATGTCAGGCTCATATGACACCAGCAGAGTCAGGAGAGATGCCTAACCATAACTAAAAGCAGAATTTGGCCAACACAATTGGAAAATACCAGCAGCGTATATACAAATGCACACACGCAATCTCATATAGGAGCAGAGCATGACAGATTGGATTTTTTAATCACACCTTTAAAGAAAACAACATTTCACGTACAAACCTCTCACTGCACTCCTACGTGGATCCTTTATCCCACTGCAACATAAACAGACATACCAGAGTCTGGAGTAGGGAAGAAAGATTTTTCTTTTTTTTCCCATTGAGGATTTTAAACACAATTTAAAAAGCAAAAGAACAGATCTGGCCTGCCTTCCAAACTGACTTCAATAATAGATAAACAGTTTTAAGACTACTACAGTCAGCAAGTACATACATAAGCTTTACATTAATACACTTACCTATATGTTTAGGTATACTGTATATTATATTTCATTTTTCCTCATTGTTCTTGGTTTCCTCTAGCATATAGCCCACAAGAAAAAAACTAGACATTTTTCCTGATTCACCAAAACCATGCTTTTACAATAAATAGCCTAATGGTTTAAATATTATTCCTCAAAACTTCTTATCCAAAGGAAAGCAGCCTTTCTGTCAGCTTCCATACCAATTCCTACAAGTTTTGTATCATCTTTCTAAGATCATTCAATCAAACTAATCCTTCAGAAAGGAAGGATTTTAGCTCGCATCCTGCATGCCATGCCTGACTTGAAGCTGCCATTCTCTTCTTCAAGTCTCTTATCTCTGATGCACTTATTGGTAACACCTGAGGGCTTTGGTACTTTGCAAAAACAAAGTGGATCTCAGTACTGGCAAAGACATAACCAAACACAAACATTTGAAGTTATTACTAAAAAAACCAAGATTCTGAAACAGCATTTTTAACAAAATTAAACAGATAAACTTTGGTGCAAATTAAAAACAACTCTCTTGTATCTGAGCCCATAATGACTATTTTGAATACAGATTATTTACTGCTGGCAATAAAGAAGTTTTTTGGTAACTTTTCTGTTATTGGGAAAAGCTTGAATATAATCCAGTCAAAAAAAAATGCTGACTTTCCTAAATAGGGGCTGTGTTTTTGCAATAAAGAATACTGGTCAATATACAAGTGGAGGAAAACTGAACCAGATGTCAGTAATAGGACCACAGAACGTTGCATTTGCCCAGAATTGCTATTTTAAACACATGATGTTGGTCTACTGGTTTGTGGGATAATACATTCTTGGCAGCCAGAAAGAGTTTCGATATGTTAGAAGGTTATCCTTCAGCAACAAAAAAAAAAAAAAAAAAAAAAGAAAAAAAAAAAAAGAAGAAAAAAGGAGGAGGAGAAGTGAGGTAAAGAAAGGCCACTAATCCATCAAGGTACCTATAGCAAAAATAAATCATGACTTAAGAAATCAATTCAAAGACAAGCCAGTGGGAAAACAGAAAGCTTGGGGTTCATAATAATTTTTGTTTTTTGCTTTACCTCCTTAATAGGAATACTTCATCCATCCTTCATTGCACTTTGCCTTCCTGGGTTTTTTTAAAGACTCTTCCCTTCATTTGTACTCAGTTTCTGGTGAGCTTCCACCTTGCAGCTCCATCCAGGGTGGTCACAGCGATGTGGGGAACCCAGCCCCATCCAGAGCACACAAACCCAGCACCGAGGGCTTTTCCTCCTGGAAACCTTTGCTCACCCCAGGGTCCTGCTGCCCTCACTGGCATTGCTGAAGGCAGCTGCCCCAAAACCCCTGAAGGCAGCCCTGCAAGCCATAAGCACACAAGTAACAACCCAGGTCCCTGCCCACTGGCAATTTAGTAGTTGCCCATCTCTAAAATGCTGCCTAGCTCAGAGTCACAGTTTCTGAGTGGATTTTTGACATGTTTTTTGGTTTTGGGCTTTTTCCCCTTCTACTGAAGAAGTCTTCCTCTTCTATCTGTAAGTCTTCTTAATATTGAAATAAAACTTCAAAATGTACTTTGTATGTTTGGCCAACAAACACATCCCTGTTTTACCATGCAATAAATTTAAAAATCAACTCTGCTCATTGTCTTAACAAACCCTTCTCTGAAAGATAATTAAAACCACTTCCCAATATACAACCAAAGTTTTATTTTTATAGTCTATCTTCAATTATGGCATAATCCTTTCTTTTTTTTTAACCAGTGAAATATACAAATCACACAAGACAGAAATATGTACATTAAATGTACAGAACAGAGGAAAGGACATAGAAGTTTTACATATCTGAATGACAGGTAAAATATTTTACATTAAATAGGGTTTTAATAGCTAGGATCATGAGATTCAATTCTGCTCAGACAGAAGTCACTAAAAGGAACATGAGGTGATTCAGCAAATGAAAAAAAAAGATCATGGTTTTTGTACAATAAAAACCAAAGTGACATATTCAATGAATTAGTGCTTTATTTATTTCTCTTACTTTAAAGATATTCTTTTCAAACATCTGAAGATGAGGGGTAAATATGTCCTTGTACAATAAATTAAGAGCAATAAAGCGCCATTAAGAAGCTGATAAATGATCAAGATGAATTTAATGATACAGCTTAAAGGCTTGTGAAAAGTCAAGGCTTTAGTACAACTAGGCTAAAGTGAAAGGTTTTCTTCACTTGGTATCTTCAAAACCATTTTCTTTAACTTGTAGGATGGGACTGAGTTGGAAAGTGGCATCTGAACCCAAGATGAAATCCTGTGTAACTACACAGCATGGGGGGAACACATATTGTTTGACAAATAACAATTCTCTGTTCAAAAACTGAAAAGCAAGGGCTGAATGCAGCACATTTTGGAGTTGGAAGGTGTCTCCTTTCAGCAATAATCAATAATGCCCTTAATGTGAGAGTGGAGTAGAAGTGATCTCCAGAATGGTATCAATTCAAGTGCAGGGTGCTGCCTCTACCAACCACCCAAGGAAGTCCTGAAATTGGGAAGAGGCTTACTTCTTTGTGATTATCCTTAAAACTTCTGAACGTTACAAGTTCTTAAAAAAATAATAATTAAAAATAAAAACCCACCAAAAGCTTAGAATCAATCTAAACACCTGAAGAGATCTGAAAAAGAAAATAAGGGATGAACTGCCCCTTTAATTTAGATGTTTTATTTTTTTCTAAATCATTAAAATATATATGTACAAAAAGCTTTGAAGTATCAGACACCAGAGACCACAGCTCTCCCATATATATGTAACTGCTCGAGTATAGTCTGAACAGTTGTATAGTGTATATCTGCAGTATATTATCTAAAGCATGTGTATTAAAGACATAGGATGATAAATTTGGTATTGCTGCAACGTTTCATTGAACTATAATAGTCAGTTAATGTTATTAAAATATGAAACTACTGTCTCCTTGAGTGAAAGCGTTCCCAAAATCTGCGAAAAAAATAAAAATCAGTCATTCCAAGAGCGGATATCTAATGATTTATTTTCTCACATAAAATTAGAGGAGTTATTTGTCAAGCTGTGTTTTGAAAGACAGCCAGCTATTACACCATTTTAAGGCATTTTCAAATTTGGGGAACTCTCCTTTCAATGGGCTTTGCAGGCTGGGAAAGCAGAGCTGTCTGTGAGCATTGCCCAGCCCCAGTGCTGCGGGCAGCCTGCCCCGGGCTGCTCCACGCCCGCCAGGGAAGGGCGGCTGCGGCACACGAGACACTCGAATGTCACAATTAGCTATGAGGCCAAGCTCTGCCTTGAAGAATATCTTTATTATTCACCAAGGCAGATTTTTTTTTTTTCTGGGTTTTTTTTTCCTGTCTTGCTCGGTTCTGGAACCAGCCCCGGTGACTCGGGGGTAGCGCAGTTGAAGCCTTTCTGATCCTTTGCTCTTTGCCCTCCGGTGACCCTTGGCGGGCAACCTACACCGCTCCTTGTGATGAACATACCCCTTATTTACAGAGCCCTACATGCACTGAACAGCTTTATACACCCTACTCTAGGAACTTCTAGTGTCTGAACCTAAAAGTCATGGACAGCTCTGTGTGTTCCTCACATCCATAAGGATGGTTCTAACATCCCAAGCACATTACGTGGTTGCTCTGTCTACTGCACGTGTATTACGTTCCATGGATCTAAATTAGGATATGTCGGCTTTTCCCCTCAAACTACTCTATTGTTTGTAAGAAAAGTCAATTATTTTTTTTAACTTTGTAAAATAAATATTCTCAGATTCTCCCCCATTATTGCCAAAAATATAAGCCTCACACAGTTCTGGGATGGACGCAGAGAGGGTTTCCAGGCACTTCTCTTTGCAACCTTTATATTTTTCTTTTTTCTTTCTTTTTTTTCCTTCCCCGCCCTTTTTTTTTATTTTCTTTTTTTTTTTTTTTTAATTTTCTTAAAAGAAGACGAAAACTCCTTGGACTCTATAAATAAAGTGGAGATAGTCCTGCGGAAAGGGAGAGGGGTCTGCACCCCTTGCTGGCAGGCGGCTGCAGTTCCTCCCACCTCGTCCGTGCCCTATTTGCACACAAACTGGTCCACGATCTCTGTGCACAACTTGCATTTCACGTAGCAGCACCAGTGGAACTTGCAGTGGCAGCGCTCCCGCTGCACCGTCTTGAACTGGTCGTAGCCCCGGCCGCAGCACATGAGTTCACAGCCGTCCATGCCCTCCGAGGTCTTATTGCACAGGCGGCCCTGGGTGCCCAGGGAGCCGGTGCTCTCGTTGCGCACGCAGTAGTCGGGGCTGGGGTCGATGTACACCAGGTCGTGGATGGTGGGGGCGTTGAAGCGGCTGTTCACCTGCACCAGCTTCCCCCGGCTGTTGAGCTTCATGGCGGCGGCGCTGTCGTATTTCTCCTTCAGGGCGTCGCCCACCTTGCGGAAGTCGGCGAGCTGCAGCCAGCAGGTCTTCAGGCTGCAGGAGCCGGAGACGCCGTGGCACTTACAGGCCACGTCAGCCAGGTTGTACACCGTCTGCAGAGTCAGGGAGAGAAGCAGGAACCGTGATCAAAGACTGTGAGAGTGTTTATACCCCTCATCTCCTGCCCTCTGTCCTAGCCCCTCCACAGTATTCACCTTAGCATCCTCTCCCCCCTCCTATTCAGTGAGAAGGACGAGTCAGCTGACACACCCATGCACTCCCAGCACCCCAAAGAGCCAGGAGGAGGAGGAGGAGAGGAGACTCTCACCAGCCTCTCCCCACAGCAGAGACAGCCACAACAGCACACACAGCCCAGACAGCAGCATCACTCAGGCTGCACTCAAATTTTAGGAATTTGCTCTCACGCCAGCAAAGGATTTTGCTGTTTCATTGAGAAATGTAAAACATCTCCTTATTTTCTATCTGAGTTACTGTCCCTATTGATCTCTGCTTGAGGCTGCAATTAGGGAAAGAGTTAAGATTCCTCTTGCTCCTGGCTCAGCTGCAGCTGATTGTCTACTCTTGGCTCGGCATCCTCCTCCTATCCCAAACACTGCTCTGGAAGAGAGACTTCATCCAAGAAGAAACCCCCAAACACCTATGGGTGGGAGTCAGAGCTACATAGCAATATCCTCTTTACAAAGCTTTGGCAGGGAAACCTCAGTCATTTGCCCTGTACAAATAAAATAAGAGTCAGTGTTGACACTGCCCCAAAAATCCTGGGGTCTGACACATTAGATGATACTGTAGACAGCTTCCACCCAGCAGTTACAGAGTCTTAACACTGCCAAATGGCACTGCACAGATGAGGCTGAGGAAGGAAAAAACTCCTCAAGTCTCCGTAAGCAACTGTGAAAGTGTCATTTTTCTTCTTACTAATAGTAATTGGCCTGTCCATTGCTCTCAGACACCCTCCTCTTACATTTAAATACTATTAATTTTCAATTATCTTTCATCCTTCTTCACCTTAGAGCACAAGTGCAAAGTCTCAGCTGACTATTGCTGGCACTTCAAGCTCTAGGCAAATAATGATTTTGGCTCTTCATATTCAGACTATTAAAAAAAGTTTACACCCATTCATTTAAAGCATTTTTGAGATTAAAGAAACCATGAAAACATGTTCAACCACAGAAGGCCATGTTTTCTAATAGCAAAGAGAAGCTTTTCACATACTCTTAAACCAGGCAAAGAAAAAAAGTCAGAACAATCTTGTGGCACAATTCCAGCCTGGGAAGCCCAGCACACCCCTCTTCCTTCCAACACACACTGTCCTGGTTGGAAATACCAACTAATAAAATTCTGTTCTACAGAGAACCCACAGCGAGCCGGGCACTTTTCATGAAACAATACAGAGGGAAACTCAACACGCTTTGGTCCCAGCCTCCCCCGTGAGGAAAGCAACAGGACTGTCAGACAACCAAAGGCAACACCAACCCATGCACTCCCCACCCACCCACACCCCATGTTTGCCGTTTTCTCGTTTTGTGCATCAAACCAAAGACAAGCCATGGTAGCTGCTCTGTGCCCTGCTGAACCATGTTTTCCCCAAAAAGAAGGGATGAGGAGGAGCGTGGAGGGACACACGGTGGTGCAGACACTCACTCTTCTGCCGGCCTCGTTGTTGTGCAGGTTCATCATGATGCGGGCGCTCTCGTAGGAGCCTCGCTGGTAAACCCGCTCGCGCTCGCGCGCGTCCACGAACTCCTTGGCGAAGCGGTACCCGTACTCGATGTTGTCCCCGCAGCCGCCCCACAGCCAGTCCCGGGGCAGGTCCTTGGGCCGCGCGGCGCGGCTGCAGCCGCACGAGGACAGCTCGCCCTCCCGGCACGCGCGGCTCATGGCGTTGACCACGCCGGCCGCGCTCACCGCGTAGGTGAACGCCGTCTCCCGGCTGCCTGCACGGAGACACAAGCGAGGTTAGGGGACAGCACCGTTCCCTCCCTTGTCCTCCCAGCCTGCTGCTGGGCCGGGAGGACCACGGCTCTCCAGAGCCAAGAAGTTCACTCGCATGGTAAAAGGGTAACCCTGAACCACGCTGCCCAAAACATTCTCACTCTGAAAGAACCAAGCCAACCCAAGCCATGTGAGCACACACAGTTTGTCAAGAGCAGAAATCACTTCTCTTTCATGCTGGTGAACGCCTGGATGAAAGTGCAGAGTGGAGGTGGGTCAGGGCCATGAGGCCAGCAGGGCCAAAGCAGCCATGCCAGCATGTGAGGGGAGGGAAGGCTCCCTGTCCTTCAGAAGAAAGAGATGTTAAATACAACTTTTAAAATTCTGGTTCTTAAATTACTACTTTTCAAACGTGATTGATGCACTTCACCCACTTATTCCAATTTATTTAAAGTTCAGGCAATTTATGAAGTCTCCTAGTATCAAAAGAAACGCACAGCAGAATAACACACAACTTTTCACCCTACACATTAGCCAGACACTTCTGGAGGAGACTATTTAAAACTAACAACAACCTGTGCTGGTTATTATCCACCACTTCAGCTCTTGTGAATATGGCAAGGAAGCCCACGGACAATCATTTTTACAAATTACAGGGAAGAAAAAACCCTTGGCACGAGGTGGCCTTGAAGGTTTTCTCCTGCATCTGGTGCCCTTAAATGGAAATGGAAAACCTCAAGTTTCCAGCTTTCGTTAAGAGAAAGTTACAATACCCATAATGTAAGACATGGCCACATACCATCCTATTGACAGTATCAGATCCCACCTCATTAAGTGTCTGACTTCCCCAATCACTTTTCCAAGGGTGCCACAAGCTCTGAGTACAACTAGCAAAGCTTGCACATAAACAAACACAAAACTTGCACCAGAAAGCAACACTTGAAGTTTGTTTTTCTCCTTAAGAGACAGCATCCCAATGGGTCGTTTCCAAGAAAGATTCTTGGAATGACTAAGAATAGACTAAATATTTTTTTTTTCTGTTTATATGATTTAAGTTTTATTCCTAATCTTTAGTCTAATCAATAGATCAAGCTAGTTTTTAGTCTTGGTTTTACGTGATTTTTCTTAGGGAACATCATGGCCTTTGAAAAACTAAGATGTTAAGAGGCTTTGTTTTGGGCAAGTCACATATATTTAGACAGCAACATTTTAGGCAAAATCTCTTTGTACAAGATGTATCATGACAGGTCAAATCTAATAGGAGCTTTCAAGCACTTCTGAAACATAAATAATTTGAAGTCTGGTTCATATTTAACATCAAGATGACACCATGATCAGAGCAGCTTTGTTAATACAACAGCTGTCATCCACTGGATTAATTTTAGTAATAGATGCTGGGTTTAAATGGGAAAAATCAGAAATCTTATGTTAGGAAAGATGAGACTTAAGAAAGATCAGAAGCACTTTGCTACCTTACAATGGTCTATACTCACAGACACCTGCTCTTGGAAGTATCCACATGAATTGTGGGTATAAAGGGTTACAGGAGTAGCATTTTCAGTTAAAAAAACATTGGCTTTATGTGGTGACTTAAGCCTTGCATCTACTGCAAACTATAGCAGGGGGAACCTCATACAGATTTTAATGTTCCCATTTGCTCTGTAACACACATTTTTGGATTAATTCCTTAAGCAAAATTTCCACTATATTGAGAGGAAAGAAACGTGGTCTGCTTTGGACCACAGGACTCGCCTCCTCCATTCCATTTTTGTTCTTTTGCATGTTTAGTTAACTCATGCTTTCTCATGGTTAACTCTGCCCCTTACTGCGGGATTTAAACTCATAAAGCTGACTATTTTTGACTCGTTTTCATTATTAACCTGGAACAAATTTTAAAGAACTTACTCTCAGTGGGAAGGAGAAGGAAAGGCTTGGGTACAGGAAGGAGAGTTGCCCTGCAAGTTCCCTCCTTGAACATTTAGGCAAATTATAAAATATCATCAGCTGCTGAAGTACACTTCAAGCCAACACTGCCTCAAGTCATTGACCCCAGGAACACATTAAGAGTGATGGCTCCACACGGATGAGTTACTCTGAGTTTTCTTTTTTTCCCTTCTTTTTTCAGTCTTTAGGCACAACTGTGCTTTCCTTCACTGTCAAACATATCTGTCTTTTCCCACAGTCCAGGATTTCTCTCTATTGTAGCCATGGCAAGCAAACACACATTCCAAACACGTTCGAGTCCCCTCTCTCCCATATATATAAAACATAGAAATGGAACTGTTCAATATACACACACTGTAGGAAGCCACCCACAGAGCAAGGCGCTGAGCTTTACACTCGATCTGAATAAGTCTGCAAGAACAGAACCTTTTTTTTTTTTTTATACCTGAACATAAGATACAAAATGTTCTTTGTCTTGCATTTTAAAAGCATTCAACATCAGGCTGAAGGCAGAATAAGCTGGACCCCAACCACACGGAGCTGTAGGGGGAGGATCCAGTGATTTTGTTTCCTGTTAGCACTTAGCTGTGTGTGCAAAGCCCATGTGCAGCCTGCACAGGGCTGGCCACAAAGCCAGGAGATGGCAGCGAGCACCGTGGCCTGACCTGGGAACCAGCACCCAAGGAGAGCAGTGCAGAACACAGGCCCTAAAACTTTACAGTTCAATAAGCCACAGAGCAAGTTTCCAAACCCAAGGGCAGGTTTATTTGTACAGCTTTAGCTAACTGCAGGGTAAATCCTGGAAGAAAGACTGTCCATTGACACACGGGGCCGTGGCTGTGCCGGCGGGCAGTGCCATGCCCGGAACTCTCTGGGGCGCAACCAAGGGCACGTGGCAAAGCCTCCCAGACAATGTGCACTCAGAGCCTGCACCCTGCACAGCAAGGGGCATCTGACAGCCCATCACACAGACCATGGCAGGCTGAAGCCAATGGAATCAGGCTCTGAAAATGTCCACTTTTCCCTCCACACAGAGGAACACCAATTGGTCATTATTAAGGGTCAGCGTGAAATTCTACAACTGCTACACCTCCTTCCTTGCTCTCACTGAATACACTCTTCATGCTCTCACTCCTGAATATGGCTATTAACCTTGCTTCCATCTGCAATTAGAATAAGTGGCTTAATTACATGATGAATTGCTGTGTAGACATCAGCTAATACAGTCATATCCAGCAAAAGGGTGCGGCAAAGTTATTTAACTTGAAAGGAACCACCTTTAAATAGATCTGTCATTCTTGGGGAGGGCAGAAATATCGATTCCAGAGACAGACACCACAAATCACAGGCCCCATCCTGTACACTCCTTCACACCAACAGTCCCCCTGAGCTAATTTTCACTTGCTTGGATAATAAATAAGGGCTGAAGGATGAAGGCCTAAATTTTAAACAGATTAATTTTCTGAGTTTTTTTTATATTACTAGAACAGAGAGGTGTACAGAAGAAGCTTGCTTTCATGTTTTTAGACTTTTGCTTGGGTAAGGAAAAAACCCCAATGGAGGGTTAATACTGTGCTTTAAAAAGCCTAAGGAAGGTTGTTTATCTAAAATCGAATGTTCCAACATGCAATAGATTTTTTTCTATTTGTCTGACAATCTCCAAATAAAAACTTCTTTTAACAAAAACTGAGACTAAATGTGAATTGATGCATTCCTTCAACTTTAACTGGAGTCAGCCCATTTAGAGACGAACTCAGACTGAAACCAATTTTAAAACTTTTTCTTTTTCTAAAGCAGGACAGAAAAACACTGCCATAAAAGCTTTGCTTTACAACCCCAACTAAAAAGCAGTGCTGCATTTGCCAGTGTACTGCTCACTACTTAAAGCATCACAAGTGTCACCCAGAAAAGTAAGCATTTTCAGTTGATTACACAAAATCAGCAATCTGCCTTGAGAAAGTCAGAGGAAAGTTTCACCATGGACCCCACTCAACAGCACTGGTTAAAATTTTGCCAAGGACTTTAAAATACTATGAGGTCCTTAAATGCTAATAAAGTCAGGCAGCACATGAGCAATGGAGAAGGCCAGAAGGCCATTTCAGAGAGGATCTGACAGGGGAAGGGCTGGGTGTCCACCAAATTGTGATAAGATGTTAAACAAGAATCTGTCTCTCACCATGGACGTGATTCCATTAAATGTCAGTTACAAGGACAATCACACATTTTATCATGATAGAACTGATCTCATGAAAATTACCCTGCTACAGTAATTTAAAAATAAATCTGTTTTCCTTAAAAAGAGAGAAAAAACCACTGTATCTGGAAATAAGCAAGGAGGAATTGCCTATAAACACTAATCGACAGAGCAGCAATTTTCAGTTAACGTCTGGACCAAGAGCGATTTATTATCCAGCTGCTAACTTTGGAACTAGACATGGACATCTTTAATTTTACAAGACGCTGCTGGTTTTAATTCTTGTAGGTTGCCTTCGTTTTGTCTCAGGTTTTCTAAAAAAGAGATTTCAGGGCCTCATTTTCCTTTCTCCCCTATTCCCATATGCAAATATATATTCCTACTTTGTTTTCCAAGACATATGGCTGGACAGTGGTGGGAAATCACCTCCAGCTAAAAATAATCCAGCTCCTTTGCCAACTTTTAGAAACACTTGATTGTATACAGTACTCAGTAAGAACCTGGCAAGAGATTCAAGTGCAGAACAGTGTGTGCCATACATATCCTCAGACAAGAGTTTAATCATAAAGATGTTGCTTCCTACCTATCTGCATGACTCTGCCAAAAACAGAGTTGTTGTCCACAGTGCTGCAATTCCATCTTCTATGTCTGAATTGATACTGGCACTCCTTAATGCCCGTCTTTGCACCCTCTCCAATGAACTGCATATGGTCCTGATACAACTGGCAGAGTTTCTTCTGTCCTTGGGAAAGCCCTGCTAGCTGGCTACACAGTGGCTGGGCTCCTATAATGTACACCTCTGACATCTGAACAGGGTTCATGGGGTTCATGGGGTTCATCCCTAAAGACCTGCACAAAGAAAGATTTGCATTAATAAACAGAAGACTTCAAAATAAAATAAAGCAATTTTTAAAAATATCTATAAATCCCAGACACGTATCTTATACACGAGTATACAACTCCTGTTTTTGTTAACAAGTGAGGAAAAGCCCCAGACACTTAAATATGAAACTTTGTTTTAAGAACAGGACAGAAGTTACTAGTTTCCACCCATGTGGTTATCACCACACATTAGAGACTGAAGTACGACACAGACTTGGAAGACTTGCATCTAGGCAGTCTTTGACCAGCTTAAATTGACACAGTAAAAAAATCAGAAGCTCCAAACAATTGAAAGGCCAGGAAAATAAATAAAGCAAAAATGAAAAAAGCTCTCCAAATCCCAATTTATCTTAACACATATTTTATACTTAAGGCTGGGTTTTTCAATCTGATCTCTTATAAACAAATAGGGAAACCTTTAGCAAGCCAGAAGTTAGAAACTTGCAACAGACTACGTCTAGCTTCTTCCAAATGACAACACAGAAACATACAGGCAAGTATATTCATTCTAAACAAAATCAACTTTGTTTTCTTAATTTTTAAAGTGCTCTTCACATCATAGTTTTCAATTAAAAAGTAGCTATTAATCCAAAAGGCAGCACTGGAAAGAGCAGAGAAACACCTATTTCAAGAACTCTCAACATTGTACACTATACAGATAATTTGCCAAAGCAGGAATTTAAACGTACTCCTTTGTAACTAAACATATTTGTAAACATTTCAGTTACAGAAAACTTCAAACTGAAACGTTAAGTTTTTCCTTGCAAATCAGCATTTTCTCTTGTACATGCAAAACTTCTAACGTAAGGGAGTTGAAACATGTCTTTTAAAAGAAAAACAATTATAGTGATTTAAAGATGATAAAACTCATAGACAATCCACCAGACAGCATTCTAAAAGCTGTGTTTTACAAGACGAGATGTTGCACATTTACCCTCACTCGACAGACCCGTTCCTTCTCCTACCCAACCTATTCCAACCAGCACACTTCTCCCCTGCTGCCTCGCTCCGGCCGCACTCCCGCAGAAACAAAGTACAGAAGAAGCACAGAGACATTGAAGCAAGCAAATCTTGACACCCCCTTTCAAAACCAAGTCGATACGAGATGCTTACCACCAAGAGCTGGCTTCTATTACAACCTGGGTAAAAGAGGAGAAAACGGCCAGAGCCACTACGAGGTACTGAGAAGCCATTGTACTGCCAACTGTCCCCACAGCACCTCCGTGGATTAATACTGCACTGGATTTCTAGAGGGGGGAGAAAAAGGATCAGATTGTTTATTGCTTCTCAGACCATTTTCGAGCATTCAAGTTTAAACAACGGAAGTCTCCGGGCCCCTTTTAACTTGACTCTGACTCGCCGGCCCTTCTCCCCGCCGCGGCTCTGGTGCCAGACACAGGCACGTCGCGGCTCCCGCTGCACCGGGCAGAGCCCACCCCGCCAGCCCCCACCCCCCCGCGGACGCCGCCTTCCCGGGGCGCCCGCCCGTCCCTCTGCCCCGGCCCCGCCGCTCCCGCACCCCGCCCGCCGCCGGACGGGACGGCACCAGGCGCAAGAGCCGCTCCGGACGCCGGACCCATCCCCGCTGCCCCGGGGCTGCAGCGACCCGCGGGCATTACCCCATCGCTGCCCGCGCCGGGGACACGAAAGGCTCACGGCTGGCTAAAGGCGGCTGCAGGTTTGCAAAGGGAGCCCGACAGGGAGGGGGCCGGTGCCTCGAGGGGTCGGTTCCGCAGGGGGCCCGAGGGCTCCCGCCCCGGGATGATGCGGCCGGTCCTTGCCCTTCTCCGTCGTCCCCTAAAACATCGCGGCGCAGCCTCGGGGCTCCCGCCCGCCGCGATCCCTGAGGCAGCCCCGAGCTCCGCGCTGGCACCGCGGTGACTGCCCCGACGGCAACCCCGGGGCCGGTACCGGTCCGGGGAGGTACCAGGAGCGACCCGGACCCTGCAACAACCGGGCTGCCGTCCTGGAAGTCAAACGCTTCCCCCGACAGGTCCCGCGATCACCGTCTGGTCCTCACACGGGACTCTCTCACTCCCTCCCTAGAGCCATTCCTGGGGTTGATTTCCCCTCCCCTCGGAAGGGGAAAAAAAAAAAAAAAAAAAAAAAGAAGAAGAAAAAAAAAGGACATTTCGACACTTGGGGGCTCCCTATTCCCTATTCATTCTCCAAAGGCCCTTAACGCTGAATTGAAGGTGTTCTTAATTCTAATTTATTTCTGTTTGCGAAGGGCCGGGAGGAGCGGAGCGCTGGCAGCGGGGCCGGACACGGAACCTGCCCGGGCACATGCGGGGGAGCTGCCGCAGCTCGGGGACCCCCGTGGGCCGCTCCCCGACACTGCTCGGGGGCTGCAGCCCGGGGGCGAAGCCTCCCCGCGCCGTGCGGGTTAAACATCCATCCCCTGCCGCGGGAGATGAGCCCCTCACCTCCCCACTGCTGGGGGTGGGTAAACGGGGGCCGGTCTCCTGCAGCACAAAGAGCCCGCCCGTCCCACGGGGGCTCAGTCCCGGCAAAGGTGCGAACGCCGAGGGCGCGTTGAGCGAGGGACGAGGCGAAGCGAGGAGTGCGCGGGGCAAGCCGCGACACCCGACAGCGCGCAACGCGCTGGGCTCTTTTCATCTCGTAACTTCTTGAAACAATGACAGTAACAAAGGAGCGCCACGAAAGTGCCCGAGCCCAGCCTGAGGAGGTCGGAGACGCCGGTGCCCATGCGGGACGCCGACAGCTGCGCAGCTGCCCGGCCCAGCAGCCAGCCCGGGCACGCCGAGCTGCCCGGCGGGGCGGGCGGCCGCGGAGGGAGCGGGGCAGAGCCGGGAGCGGGGCAGAGCCGGGAGCGGGGCGCTGTCCCCGCTGCAAGACGCGGCCGGCAGGGTCAAAGCGTTCGGTCCCCACAAGGCCCGGGCGCCCCCCGAGCTCGGAGCCCCCGGGCCGGCGGGCGGGGAGCGGTGGCGGCTCGCTCCCAACAGGGGGCGGCCTCGCTCGGCGCCTCTGCCCTTCCGACGGCACCTCCGCGCCGCTGCCATCGCCCCTGCGCTGCGCGCACTGCGCCGGGCTGCGAGGCTGCGGAGACACCTGCGCCCGGGGCCGCGGACAGCCCGGCCCTGACAGCCCGGCCCTTCTGCACGCAGCAGCTGACAAGGTACCACCAGAAACAACACACAATAAAAAGCCCACAGTAAAAAAAAAAAAAAAAGAAAAAAAAAAAGAAAAAAAAAAAGAAAGAAAGAAAGAAAGAAAAAAAAAAAAAAGCAGACTGCCCAGCAGCACTGGAGATCGGGAGTGTGAGGCACCGTGTTCAACTTTGTAGGGCCGCGGAGATTGGGTTTTGGTATTTAACGCACCCCATGCGGAGCCCGCGCTCCTTGCCGAGATGAAAAGAGAGGCTTTTACAGATCCTGCACCGCGGGATCGCCTCTGATCCTGTTTTACACGGGGTGTCTGGAAAGCCTGCGAAGGCATCTGGTTTTCTAGGAGCACTACCAGCGGGCAGGCGGCATCCAGAGCCCGGCTCCGGGGGGCTGTAAACCGCGGGAGGCGCAGCGGCTCCGCGGGGACCCCCCGGCCGCCTCCTGCTCCCCGCTGCGTCTTCACAGCCATTTGGAGGAGCCAGACCACGTCTCACGTTTGCAGGGAAAGGCACTGGTCGGGTCCCGGCCCAGCTCTCCCCAGCGGAGGCGCAGAGGGGTTGTTTTCCCGGGGGTGAAGGCACATCGTGTCCTTCCCTCGGCGCCCGGGGACAGCCTCGCTCCTCGGCCCCGCTGAACTCCCCGTGACCCTCCGAGCGCAGCCCATTTACCATACAATTGACAATTAAAAACAAACAAACAACAAAAAGCCAACAGCCTTTCCAACATGGAGTCCTCGCAGCGCCAAGGGGACCCCGAGGAGCCGCGCTCCTCCGCGCTGACCCAGGCGGGACCCGCTGCAGATGCAGAGTGATAATCTCCAGAAACTGAGAATAAAATTAAATGGGGGGTGGGGGGGGGCTGACTCCGGGTCCTCTGCTGGCCCCCAGCCAGTTCTCCTTAAAGGTACAGGCCACCATTAGCGCCGACGTTGGGCTCCTCCATAGCGATCCTCCTCGGGAAACTTTGGGAAGTTTGGAAAGATGTCTTTAAACTCGCGTTAGGAGCCGCTGCCAGAAAGATGCACCGGGACGCGGCGGGCAGAGCGAGCCTAGCAAGTGTCCCTGCGGCGGGCAGCCTCTCTTCGGGGGGAAATTTAAAAAGAGAAGAGAAAGCAGAAAATACAAGAGCTTTTCCCAAGTGGGGAGCAGAACTCTCCGCGGTGGGTGAGAGCGGAGAGGCAGGAGCACCCGGCGCTAGCCGAGGAGGGCAGGAGAGGCCGCCCCGCGCCGGGGCCCCGCACCTCGCCGAGCGCAGCCCACCCTGCGCGCCCGCGGCCCCTGCGGCGCGGAGCCCCCGCGCCCCGCGCGGACTCACCTCCATCGCGCGGGATCACTGAGCGGGAGCAGCCAAGTAATCCAAGCGGAGCGGGAGGAGAAACGGCGAGACGAAAGTAAAATCCTGGCTCGCAGGAGCCGGGCGGTATCGTCCCGAGCCGCGGCCGGGGGAGCGCGGGGGCCCGCGGAGCTGGCGGGGGGCGGCGGGCGAGCGGCCGCCCTGTCCGGCGCAAACCGAGCGTGTCCGACTGCGGAGCGGGGCACCAGTGCAGCCTTCTTTCCAAGGTCCATCAGCAATCGCAGTAATTAGGGCTTTCCACCAGCAGAAGAAGAAGGAGGTAAAAAAAAAAAAAAAGCCAAAAAAAAAAAAAAAGCCAAAAAAAAAAAAGCCAACCCAACACACGCACACAGCGCCCGTGGGCGTGATTGTGCGGAAGCAAATAAAAATCTTCACAAGCGGCAGCGAAAGCGCCGCGGGCGACGATCCGTCCCACCAGCCCAGGTGGTGCCGCCGCGGGGCTCCCCGCGCTCCCACCCGGCTCCGCCGGCGCTCGGGCCGCCGACCGCCCCCTCCGCAGCTCGGCGCGGACCGGCCCGCGAGAGGGGGACGATGGAGCCGAGCGGGTGCAGGGCTCCCCCCTGCCCGCCCCCCTTCACTTGCTTAAAGGCTGGGCGGTGCAGAGCCGGGGGTCCGCCGCTGCAGAGCCATCCCGGGGCCGGCTCCCTCCATTTTACACTGAGAAGAAAAAGCCCAAACAGAAGAAGAAGTTTCTGCACAAGCGGGAAGGGGGAGGGGGGCTGTGCACGCGTTTGCCTGTCTTACGGGGCGACTGATCCTGCAAGGCGAGCAGGGCCAGGGGGAGGGGAGCAGTCCGGGCTTCAGGAGCTGCGGCTCCCCCAATCCATCGGTGCCAGAGGCGCCCAGCGCCGGGGAGCGGGATACGCGGGAGAAGAGCCGGGAGAGCAAGCCGGGGCAGGCGGCGTCGCGGCAGCCGACCCTTCCTCCGTGGGGCTCTGCCCCCGCCCGCTGCAGCCGGCCCCGCTCCCCCCGCGTCTCTCCCTCGCTCCTCTTCACCCCGCTGCTTAAAACTGCGAAAGAGGGAGAAAAAAAAAAAAAAAAAAAAAAGAAGGAAAAGGAAAAAAAAGTTAAGAGAGCCAACGGCAGCTGGAAAACTTTCTCGGCAGCGCATGCGCCCAGGGCCGGCCTATTGCAGACGGGGCTGGATTTTAAAGCTGTACGGCAGCGAGCGGGACCCCGCGCGGCCCCGGGGCGGGCGGCGAGCGGGGAGCGCCCCCCGTGCGTGTGCCCGGCCCGGCCGCCGCGCTGAGTCCCGCATCACCGGGCCGGTCTCGCTGGGCAAGCTCGGGGTGAAGCCCCGTGAGGGCAAACTCGTCCTGCAAAGCAGTGCCCCGTGCGCCCATCCCGGCCGGCGGGGTGCGTGCGGGGGTGCACGGCCCCTCCAGCGCCGCCGGCTGCTCATCCCGGGCCGGGATGGGGGCACACCTACACCCTTGCAAACCCGTGTGCACCCACATACGCACATGTACACCCATGCACACCCCTACACACACCCGGGCTGTGCCGGGCCGGCCCCGCGGCGCTCCCCCTCGCACACATGTGCACACAATGTGCGGCGCACATGGCCGCGCCGAGCGGCTGCCCAGCATCCCTGCCGGCGGCCGGGGACGAGCCCTGCTTGTCGCATGCTCCGAGGCGCGGAGGCAGCCGCGTGTGCCGCCTGCCAGAGGGGGAACCGAGCGAGCTCGACGAGTTCCTCGTCCTGCAGCGGCTTTTTGGCGCTGTAA